GGCCGCTGCGGGGCCAGCGGCGCGCCCGGCCCGGGTAAGTCCGGGCCCGGCGAGGTGGCCGCAGCGCCGCCGTCCCAGGAGCGGCCTTGGCCTCAGCCCGGCCGCTCACGTGGGTCGGGCCCGGCGCGCTCTTGGCCCACCTCGGCGCCTTGGTCCTTCCGCCTGGGCTGGGGCAACGCGCCCCCGCCCCCATTTCCTCACCTTCCCGAGTGTCCTCGGAGCTCTGCGGAGAACGCGGCCGTTCCCTCCCGGGAGGAGGCTGCCGCTGCACTCCGCCTCGGGGGCGAGCCGGGCTCTCTCCCCCCGACTACTCCCAGCCTGGCAGCCCCTCGCTGGGCGCTTTGTTTTGCTGGGTCGGTGCTCGCTTGGCGTCCTTGCCACTGCCCCGTTTATTTGCGGTGTTATGCGGGGTGATGGGTTGGAGTTGGGATGTGATCGAGTTGAGATTCAGTGAAATAAAAATGACCTCCCCCCACGGAAATAGCACAGCTTTACCCAGCTGAGACGCCCCCAAAGCCTGGCCTTGGACGGAGATGGGAAACCCCACTTTGGTGTAGGGGATAGTGTTCAGGCCGGTGGATGAGTCATGTGCTTTTGCCGAGTGGCTGGCTGACTTCCCTTTTACGCAAGACCACGCACTGTTTTTTGAAGTGTTTTTATGTAGTTGTTTACTCATTTGATGTTTCATGCAACCTGGTGGGGTTTATATTCTTGGCCCTTGGGTTCATTTTTACCTGTGTGTTGGATGCAAGAGGGGACCTCTTGCAGTCCGTGCCTAATGAGACTTGAAGTGTCTTTGCTTACCTTTGAGAGGGCTGTAGATGTCCGAGTTTACAAAAACCCAGCCTCAGTGTACTTCTAAGCCAGTGGCTCTTTGGTGCTATAATACAGTTGGAGATTTTCATGAATGAGGCTGTCAAGTTCCTTAAATTGTGAGCCCTTGGAATTTGTAGTCCTTAGAATTTGTAAAACAAGCGATACTCAACAGGATTTATGAATGTGCTTTCAATTTCAAGGTTTTGGATGGCACAGTTTTATGACCTTGCCAGTAATTTAATAAAACATTCCTTTCGTTTTAATTTGGATGGAGATTATCTTCCAGCAAGGCATGGTAGATAACCAACTCCTCCCCAAAAGCTTCAACCTGGGGCAGGTAAAACTCTCAGATGGTTTCAGCTTACCAAATCGAGAAGGAAAAGTCTGGTCTGAAACAAAATGCATCCCCGTATTACCCACCATATCCCCTATCTTGGTAGGAAATAGTATCTAAGGACTGAAGCTGTGGAGTAAATGAGTCTTAGACTATGTCTCCAAAAGTTATCTTTTTGAGCCAGTTGTGATCTTTGTACTAATTTGCACTTCTGCTTTTGGTGGTGGTGGATATTTTCGTGTTACACAAATCAGATTATTGAATGCCTTCTCTTCTTTTCTATTTTTCGTGTTTTTAAAAAAATTAAATTAATTTTAGAGAGAAGGAGAAAGAAACATCCATCAGTTGCCTCCCTAATGCACCCGACTAGGAAGACTAGGAATCGAACCGGAAACCTGGGTATGTGCCCTTCGCTGGGAATCGAACCTGCCACCTTTGGGTGGACAGTATGTGGGGATTCCTTGCTGATGATGACAGTTAACTCATAAGGCATGAGTTTATGCTCTGGCTTCAACCAACAGCCACACTGGCCTCACTTTTTCTTAATTTAAAGCAAAAACCATTTGGTGCCTAAGTACCTTGAAGAACTGGGCTGTTAAATCTTCGAACAGCCCACTATCACTGTCTGTCACAATTATGTGCATGTAAAATGTTTCAGTTTTTGATACTAAATAACTTTGTGAAGTAGATTGTCTTTGTGTTGTCTTTATGTGGTAAAAGTATAAAAAGAAAGGCTTGTTATTGAAAATTGCTAACGTTACTGGACATTCTCATTTGCACAGTGAGGATTGTGGGGATTCCTTGCTGATGATGACATTTAACTCAAAAGGCATGAGTTTATGCTCTGGCTGGTGTTCTCTGTGGTTAGAGTGTTGTCCCATGTCAATTCCTGGTCAGGACAGGAGTGTGAGACAACCAGTGGATTTTGTCTTTTACATCAATGTTTCTCTCTGTCTCCCTCTCCCATTCTCTGGCTCTAGAACCAATAAAAAGGCATATCCTTGGGTGTGGATTTAAAAAAAGGCATGAGTCTAAAAATAAAATTTGTCCTAAATTATTTTCTTTTTACTGGACTGTTAAGTTCCATGAAGACAGGGTTTTGTTTGCTTCGCTTTGTCTATTTTTATCCTATATTGTATCCTTAATTCCTATAAGAGCACCTAAAATATTCTTTGAGTGAATAAACTGAAGAGATAATTGAGCAAGAATTTGGGATGTCCACAATACCAACTGCAAATAATTCCTTTTATGTTAATAACATATTGTTAACAGGGGACATAATTGGTCAGTAGGACTTACAAGGAATGTGAATTTTAACTAAGGTAACATTAAGATCTCTAAAAATTGCAGTAAACTTATTAGTAGTCCAGGCAGTGTGGCATGCAGTATTTCTGTGCACTGTCTACTGTATATTTCCTACTTAGCAGTTTGAAATGTGGTGAGTGTTTTTAGGCTGTGGTTCAACTCTGACCTGAGAAAAGTGTCTTAAGAGAGTGATAAATCGTGCCTAATAATAAACAGGTATGGGTAGCATTTCTTAATGTGAATCTCATATTGTCAATAAAAACTTGATTAAAAAAAAGATTGAGTACTTCCTTTGTGAAATTCTCATTTCATGTGTATGTGATTGGCTAATCCATATAAACAATTAGTTCCTGAGCTCTTACTATACACAAGGGAAGACAAAAAGATATTTGCTCATGACTTGTTTGGTACATATATTCTTTATTAATGTATTCATCCCCAAAGTACTTATTGAATATAAACTATGTATTATTACAGCTTTACTTAGACATAATTTACACATGATACAGTTCACCAATTTAAAATGTACAATTCAGCCCTGGCCAGTGGGGCATCGTTCCTTGTACCCTAAGGTCACAAGCAGGAGACAACCAATCAGTGTGTCTCTCTGATTGATGACCCTCCCTCCCTCCCTCCCTCCCTCCCTCTCTCTGTTCCTCTCTAAAAATCAGCAATAATAAAAACATTTAAAGTGTACAATCCAGTGTTTGCCTATTCTGTATATTTCAGGAATTATATAACTTTTTGTGTCTAGCTGCTTTTACAGTACATGGTATAATGTTTTCAGGGTTTGTACTGTAGTATGAATTAGTACTTTGTTCCTTTTATAACTAAATGCTCTTCCATTATATGGATATGCTACATTTTATCCCTTCATCAGTTGATAGATATTTGGGTTTTGGCTATTATGAATAATGCTATCAGTGTTCATGTGCAAGTTTTTGTGTGGACATGTATTAATTTATCTTGGGTAGATGCCTAGGCGTGGAATTGCTGGGTCATAGTAACTAACTTTTTGAGCCTACACAGTAACTTTTTAACAGCATTGATTTTCTAGTGCTTTTACAGAGGGCTTAAAAGAAAAGCTTAATGGGATATGGTATGGCCACTTAAAAGAATGAGGAAATGAAAGTGCAAGGATGTCAGCATGTTGACATGTAGTACAGTCTGGGTAGTTTGATTAAATTATACTTTGTTTTTTAAATTATATGTTGTTGGAGAACAGTTTGAAATTCTAATAAGGCACAGAAAACAGTTTGAAAGATGTACCCCAAATGTGTACTACTGTTGTTATGAAGGGAGATTTTAGAAACATTTAATTTTTTTTCTCCAGTCTAAACAGGCCTTAAGTTATTAAATTTGATTTAAAAAACCTGCATCTATATAACCCAGCATAAATCATGGATGTATTCTTTTCTAAAGAAATATAGTTAAAGCAAAGCAACCATCTGTCCCATTCAACCCCGAAGGGAATAGACGTGGTTGGTCCACATTTGAAAATGAGATTGTAAGGTTTTGTTTTTTCTTCTTTGTTAATATGTTTGCTTGTCTTTTATTGATTGCAAAGAGGGGAGAGGAAGAGAGAGATAGAAACATCAATGATGAGAGAGAATCATTGATTGGCTGCCTCCTGCACATCCCCTACTGGGAATTGAGCCGACAACCCAGGCATGTGCCCTGACAGGGGGAATCAAA